GCCAGCATGGCTGGCTGGGGAATTCAGGGAGCTGAAGTCCACCCATCTTCAAGTTGCCAAGTTTCCAATACAATGGGCTAAACCAACAGCTGGAAACACAGCTGGTCTTTTGAAAGACACGCAGGGGAAATCAAATCCTTGCTCTTAACTGGGCTATGGAAGAAAAAATGTGTCCCCACAGGCAGAAAGCGATGTTTTCCTGGAGCCAAAAAGACAGGTTCAGCAACTAGGAAAGAGCTGGTCTAGAGGTGCAGGAACGCCGCAGGGATCAGCAAAGAATGCATAACCTTGAAATTTAGTTAAAGCAGCTACTGATACTGCAGCTAATCGCACGGAACTGGAATTTTTCACAAGCAACCTACTTTCTCCTCCTTACAGGTACGACTGAGGTTATGATGGCTCCCACAATTGTTTCAATGCACACATGCGTGATGGGAACGCTCTGGCACGGAACCGCCACAGGGGAAAAAATCCTGACTCAGAACGGGAACCCCGGGGCAGATGTTCAAAGAGTCCAATAAACTTTTTTTTTCTCTCTAGGGGAAAAAAACAAGTGGCAGCAGAAAGGGATCCCACCCCAAATCCCAAGAGAAATCATTCCATTCTATTTAACACTGACCAGATCTCGTTTCAGGGTGGAGATCCAATTCTGGGCATGTAAGAACAAGATTCAAAACCACCTTGTTAGGTTAGAGAAATGGGCTGAAAGGAAGAGAAGGAAATAGGGCTTGACTACAAACCAAACATGAGCCAGGAGTGTGATGTGGCTGCCAGAAAGGCAAATGCAGTTTTAAGTTGCATCAGCAGAAGTCTAGTTTCCAAATCATGGGAAGGAATCAGGACTGTGGAGTCAGAAGGGACCTCAGAGGTCACCTAGTTCAATCAAGCCCTGCTCAGGGCAGGGTCTGCTAAAGCCAGATGATCTCCAGCCTCTGTATGAAGACCTCCAGTGAAGGGGAACACTGGCTTCAAGAGGCAATCGTTCTGCTGGTTGGAAGATCTTACCATCAGGACATTCGTCCTAAACCTAACCCAGTGTTTCTCAACCTCGGCAACGTGAAGGTGTGTGGACTTCACCTGCCAGAATTCCCCTGGGGAATTCTGGCAAGTGAAGTCCACACACCTTCACGTTGCCGAGGTTGAGAAACACTGATCTAACCCAAATCTACTTCCTGCAGTTTCAGCCCACCTTGTGGGACAACAGAGAAGTCCACTCCCTCCTCTCTTTGGAACCCTTTAGATATCTGAGGACTACAATCCCCTCTCCTCCATTTTCTCTGCCCAGCAGAACATCTTGGAAGCCCCCCTCTCAACTCTCTCATTTGTCAATGTCCTTTTTAGACTGTGGTGCCTTGAACTGGAGACCAAGGACATCCTAAGGTCTGGACTCTGTGCTCCTGTGAGGGCACCTCAAAGATAGCATTTGCCTTTTTAGCAGCTGCGTCCTACAGCTGGCTCCTGTTTAACTTCTGGCTGACAAGGACACCCAGATCCCTTTCATTTGCACAGCAGCCAAGCCAGGTCTCCCCCCCTCCTTAATTTGTGAATTTTATTGTCCCTTCCCAGATGCAGAACTTGATCCTTCTCCCTGTTAACTTCCACTCTTTTTGTTTCAGCCCACTGTCTGAGGCTGCGGGATCCTTTTGCTATCTCCCTCTTCTCCTTATCCGATCAAGCGCTAGGCGGTCCTCCTGGCTCCTTGTCTTCTGCATATTTGATAAGCTTCTCTCAACCAAGTCATTAATAAAAATGCTGAACCACACAGTGCCCACACTCAAGTCTTCTTCCCAAGCTCACATGGAGCCATGCTTCCAACTGTGATGCCAGGTAACAGCTGTATCATTCAGCCTCTATTTTATAATTTTATTAATAAGATTTTGTGGAATGCTTTGCTGAGGCCAGGTAACATTTTCTCCCACAGAATCCCCCTGATCTATTAAACTAGTAACTTCATACAATGACAGGAGCCTTCTCTTAAACATCATGATTCTCCCTCTTTCCCTCGCAAACAGGATTAAAACTTTTCCTCCTTCTATACAGCGAACCGTCCCTCTTATTGCGGTTAGCCATCTGCACTAAAATCCGATGAGTATTTAAGAGTTAGTTCTTACTTCGATTTTTATTGCACCTTTCCTTCCAAGTAGCCTGAAGCAAAGTTCAGTCTCACATTGTACCTTTGAGACAGGCTGTTCTCAGAAAATAGATGGGTTCACAGGAAATGCTAAGCTATAGTGCAGATTTTGTAATTTATATCTTTTGGCTATGTGTCTCTATTCATCATAGCTTACGGTTCCATGCAAAACCATGCTTTTTTTTTTTTTTAACAAACCTGTTTGCATGGGGGGGGTACAGTAAGGTAAAGAGAATTTACCAATAGAAGAGAATATCAGTAGCTCAGGGTTGAACTGTGGAGTCCTTGGTGTTCTCTGAGCTTAGTGGTTGGCTTGTAGATGTTTCATGACCCAACTAGGTAACATCATCAGTGCAACAGACGGTGGGGTTTGCTCCCTGTTTATATACAGTAGCTTGTCCTGCGAGTGTTAGTGGGGGTGGGGGTTTTCTCCTTGGTAGTTCCTTGATTATTGTTTTCTGCCTATTTATTTGTCTGATGTTGATTCATACTTATCTGGGTGTTGACTGCTGGAGAGGATCTGTTCTGGTCTTTTTGTTTTTCTTAGCTTTCTTACTATCTCTTCTGAATAGTGT